GTGCTTCCCCTAACAACCCGATTTTCCAAATTCTGTTAATGGTGCCATTATCTACTATCTATTCTGAAAACTCCCGAGTTGTTGATTGCCTCCAACTCTTACTCCCATATTTTATCAGGTTTCTAAATACTGTTAATTTAACATCTAAAATATATTTTCTCTCATTGTTATCCTTATCCACTGTTTCAACCTATTTCTGCCCTGCCTCCCGTCTTGTATCTCTACCTTCAACTTATATTTGTTTTAATTTCTTGGGTTGGCCAAAAAGTTCATTCAGGTTTTCCATAACCTGAAAAGACTTTTTGACCAACCCAGTACTTTACATATCATTCCCAGAAGTAATTTTATATACTAGTCTTGGATCTTTGTTTCAACCAAACAATATTTAGTATTTAAACTAAATATTTAAGATGCTTCTTGACCTGATCTGAGCTGTTAAATTGAAAAAAAAAATTATTAAATATCACTACTGCAGCCTAATTTGAGTTGCAATCTGACCTAAACCTTGGAGACTGAGATGTAGACACCTGGGATGCAACGAAGAAAGTTACAGGGTGAACATCTAAGTGAAGTCCCGTGGTTTGAATATCTCAGGTTATATTCAAGGACCAGAAAATAGAGCAGAGAAAGGTAGAGTGGTATCTACAGATGAGGCTAGAGAGAAGGAGACCCAATCACGGAGGTCCCTGTGAGCAACCTTGCCAGTTCAGTAAAGTTTAGAAAATTGTCCCGGGTCTTTTGAACTGTGCAACTTGTACCCCAGTCCAGGTCTGCCCAACTGGTCTGTCCTGTTCTTCTGGCTATCTCCATCAGTCAGTTTGTCTTTCCACCTTACCACTGGGCCCATGTTTTTTATCCCTCTGCAGTTTGGGAGGTATACACAATTCCTTTGCATATCTTAGTGCCTAGGAGTTATTTCTGTTTAATTGAACTTGCTAATGTTTCTTTCCCATCCTTCCCCTATTGTGTCCTTGAAACAAAATCGGTTTAAATTCAGTATAAAATGACTTATGTTTGCTGATATGCTAGTGATTACTTTTCATTGTGTGGTGCAATTCTTGGCATGATTCTGCCGGGTTTAAGAATGGCTGTGCAGTTACTACATACATGTGCATTGTCAGGAAAGTGGATCAGAGTATGACAGTCCTGTCTCTTGTGTGTCAAGGAGTGGGGCAAATAGGGTTCTTATGGAATTCAAAATGCTAAGACTGTAGTAAAAAATTCAACTGGTTGGATGTTTGCTTTCCTGGGAATAAAAGGTCTAATATGATTTACATTTTTTCCATTGAATTGACCAACTGTTTATAAGATCATCACTGCAGTAACATTATGAGTTTTATAATAATTTTAGGAAAAGGAAAATAGCCCCTAGGGTCTCAGTTTATGAAACTAAACTATCTCCTGAGAAACTAGATATTCTTGGAAAACAAAGCTTAACAGCCATGTATCAAAGAATTTAAAATTCATATCAGGTTCATCTTAGGAAGTCACACTGTAATATATACAGCACTTTACAAACTAGAGCAGATTTACCTTTTCACTAAGAAGGACTAAAACCAAAAGATGCACCTTGGGTTGCAAAGACCTTAACTAAGGTCCACGTGGTATTGCCCAGACAAGCATTTACTCTGTGTACCAGGGACACAAGATACTGTTAGAGTTTTGGATTTCATCAATGAAAACATAAAACAATCTTGCTATAAAATTTATGAGGCTGACTTCATCTCCCACCACACAAACACTTAGCTATATGTTGTTAATTTTAAGCAAAACACTAAAACTCATCACAGCTTTACAATCAGTGTTTTAAATGGATGACTGACACACAGCCTTTGACAATATTTAGCACTTTATAGCAATACATTAACATCAACTTTAGAAACTATAGCATACAGAAATTTTACAGCCAATTAAGTTGATGAGTCACTGTCAGCTTGCTAAATTCTTCTTTTTGATGATAAGAGAAGCATATATAGGAAGTGAGGGGCAAACTCTAGCTCCTATAAAATCTATACCATCGTTATAAACTTGAAATTTTAAGGAATAGAAAAATATTGGGCTGGCCAAAAAGTTTGTTTGAGTTTGGGTCTAAATAGCATGAAAACAAATCAGATGATTTCTTTTAAAATTTAGAAATGGTTATAGTGGGCAGGTTTTAGTTTGTCATCATGCACATACATTGATTTGTGAAAAACATCTTATAGTATCCATTGATGTGTGTGGCAATAGTCACTGGACAGCCTTATGGACTTTAAAAGAAAAAAAGTGAAGTTGGATATATTTAATCTTCCCTCAAACTAATTGGAGTTTATAACTAGTTAAGGAAAGAAGTAATTTGACTAGTGAAAACAGATATCTATGTTTTGAAATTACAGATTAATCATGTCCTCAAGTTGGGAGATTCTGATTCATTAAGTTTGAATGGTGTGGTTTAATCTGTACTTAAAAAAGATAACTAAGATGGGAACAACTGCTCTGGGATGCCTTGTCTTCATTTTCAGTTATCCAGTTCAGTGATGCAAAATAAATGACACAAGATCTCTCTGTATATAGAGAGGGACCTACCCTCAATGTAGTTATTTCAGGTTTTTTATCACTGCATTTCCCTTGTTGTATGCCTCTTTTTTATAAGCAACCATGCTGGCCTGCCCAGGACTGTCCAGGTTTTGGTCCTATGACCTGAGAAGCTCCTCAGTCCTAGACAACCAGAGTGATTTGCCAGCAGATAAGATCTTTAAAGAAATAACTGAATCTTTTTGGTCACTGTGACCATTCTTCAATATTTATTTGTGAGTTGTCTATTTTGTGGTTAAAATCATGGGAAAGAAATTTTAGGTAGAAGCTGGAAGGACTGCTTTCACAGGTCACTTGATGACATTCTGAACATAAGCATTGAATACTACCTAGGAGCCTCAGTCACTTAGACCTGAGTATAATAAGTGATTGAGGTTTCCTTGGTGACTCAGTGGTAAAGAATCTGCTTGCCAATGCAGGAGACTTGGGTTCAATCCCAGGGTCAGAAAGATCCCATGGAGAAGGAAATGGCAACCCACTCCAGTATTCTTGCCTGGGAAATCCCATGGACAGAGAATCCTGGCAGTCCATGAAGTTGAAACGAGTCAGACATGACTGAGTACTCATGCATAACAAGTGACTGAGACCAGAGGAAAAAATGTTCAATGATTAGATAAATGAAAATGAATAAATTAACTACTACATTTGTCTAGAAAAAAGTCACTGTTTTTATCAGAGTATAGGACCCAAATATAAAATAACCATTTAAATTAACCTCTCTAAAGTTAGAGGAAATATGCATTAGTGTGAAGAAAGATAATATTTGTTGAATTTAAAAACTGTTTATTAAAGTTGAATAACTGACATTTATGGGAAAATTTAAAGTGCTTGCTTTTGGTCTCTCCTAGTGTTATCAGATGTATAAAGTTTAGGGGAATGTGAAAGTGAGAGGAGATCCTTTTTGCTTTCCTTAATAAGCCCTCAATGTCCTTAACTCACTTGATGACATTCTGGACATAAGCAGTAAAGATTATTCTAGGATCTAGGAGACAAGACACTGCACAGAGATATAAAGGCCTGTTTGTTTTTTCCTTGTGTGTTCAATATGCTTGCCATCTACCCCATTTTTCTGGTGACTGAGAGAATGTTGGTGTCAATTTGGAGAAGTGGGAATGGTTCCCATATCTGCTCTGTGTGTCTAAGTGAATTTCACCTCCATAATCTTGGTTTCCTCATTTTAGAATGAAAAGGTTGGATTATAACTAATTATATTTCATCTAACTTTAACATAAAAATTACCTTCCATTTTTAATTCTGTATTTCTATCACATGTTAAATGATAAACATGAAGTTAAAGGCATAATTTCCAAGGCCAATTCTCAACCCTCAATATACCTAAAACAATTATTCTGAATGACATTCATTTTAAGAGCTCTGCATCATTCATATAATGTATAGCAAGATGACTATAGTTAACAACACAATATTGTATACTTGAAAGTTCTTATAGATCTTAAAAGTTCTCACCATAAGGAGTAAAAAGGGAACTCTGTGAGTGATATAGTAACTAACCTTATGGTGGTAATCATGTCATAGTATGCATGTATATTAAATCATCACATTATGTTTCTTAAACTTACATGGTGTTATATGTCAATTACATAAAAATAAACTGGAAAAAATAAACAATGAAAACATAAAATTGAGTTTTTATTTGAGAAGAAATTAAGAAGAAAACAAATTGAATGATTCTTCTAAAGATATAGTATTGGTTGCTGAGTTGCGTCCAGTTGTGGCCTCATGAACTGTAGCCAGTCAGGCTTCACTACCCATGCAATTCTCCAGGCAAGAATACAGGAGTGGGTTGCCATTTTCTTCTCTGGGGGATCTTCTTGACCCAGGGATCAAAGCTGGGTCTCCTGCATTGTAGGAGGATTCTTCACCATCTAAGCCACCAGGGAAGCCCTAGAGATAAGCAGTGCACTTAAGGAAATATTGTCATTTAATATTTACAAAAAGAGCTCCCAAACAGCACATTCTAAACAAGGACAGACCTGAGGTTATGGGGGAGATCTTACTTTGGGCTGCTTATTAGATGATACTCTGGGAGCGGAGGTGAATGAAAAGAGCAACAGTCTATACACATTTTACTTAAAAGATCAAATCACTACCAAAATGCTAGGTAATTACTAGCATGTACAGTATAATAGAACTCAATAAGGTGGAAATGAAGATAATGAAACTATATGTCTTTTATTTACTTTATATCTTTTTGTTGCTAATGGAATAGTTTCTGTTCTTTCCCAATAAAAATTCAATACCCAGTTTAAAAACCTGACTCAGTAAGAATAGGACTAAAATAATCAAGAGTAAAATCAAATAGTTTTGTCTCATTAGATGTGCCTCAAATGATGAAAATCTTAGCCCTCATGTCATCTTTTAGTGAAATCTAACCCCAGTTGATGGCTTTCCATTCTCTTTTACAGGGCTGGAGCGAATTGCACGGGATTCATCTTATGAACAGGAGGGAAAGGTCCAATTTGTAATTGATGCTGTGTATTCCATGGCTTATGCCCTGCACAATATGCACAAAGATGTCTGCCCTGGATATATTGGCATTTGCCCACGAATGAGTACCATTGATGGGAAAGAACTACTCGGTTATATTCGGGCTGTAAATTTTAATGGTAAGTCGCAACTGTTTTTGGTATCTGAACACTTGAGAAGTGCCAAGGGGTGTCTATTCTCCCTATATATAGAATATACTCCAGAGTGGGAAGCATAGGATAAGAAGCAGTTCCCCCTTTTAATCAGAAGTGTGAGTTTTTCCACCTGCTTTTAAATCTCAAGCACATTTTTTTGTGTGTGCTACCATTTATCTGTTCCTGAGAGAAGCAGAAGTTAAAAATAAGCCGCTATCAATCAAAATATCACTCTTTCAGAAACAACTTAGGAGGCTCATTTGGAACCACTGACAACAGATTAGATTTCTTTGAAAATGTTTTGTTCATGCCATTATTAGAGAAGACATTGTTCACATTTTGTTTTGAAACCGATTTTCAGCATTTTAAACAGTAAGATGACTTGAGGAAGAGGGGGTGATTCAGAGCTGCTGTATATTTACATTCTAAAAGCTCTGTGTTAAGTTTCCAGGGCTTCTTTTTCTTTGTATTTCTTTCAACGACTGGGTCAATTTGAAGCAATGAGCTGTATCGTGTAAGGTAGAACTACATACAATGAAGTGGAGATGAGATTTGCCTTCTGCGGCAGCAGAAATGCTGCTTCTTTGAGTGACACAAGAAATTAGTGCAGAATATGCTGGATTCATAGTACTTGGCTGAGAATAGCCAAATTGCCTGCCTCAAGTGATGAAACTATTGAATTCTGCTGTTCTTTCATGAAAGTTGTAATGGTTGCTGCTCATGACTTTGACCATTATTTTCAAATGAAATGATAGAATGCTCTGAGTTGTCTAATTCTTTCTGTTTGGCTGTAATCCACACAAAGGACATGCCTCCGAGCCACGCACAGTGCTGCACTGTCCATCATAATACACTCCAGTGACCTCAGCTGCCAGCCTTTCTCAAAAAAGCACAAGGTCATCTTCAATTTAGAATTCAAGTGGAAACTTCTTCTTTTACTCTGTTCAGGCAATGGGAGACACAATTTGGTTTACATTCAATCCAAAGGACCCTCTTTTTTCAACAGAATTTGGTGAAACATTACATAACGCTGTTCCTTTTGTTAAGAATATAAATAGTAAGGGAAATTTGAAAATAATTTTCTTACAGTGATTAAATGGAGCGCAAGAGGAGTGTTACAATGCAAGGTCATTTACCCTAATGTGAGGTTGGGGAACACTTTGTTTATCTAAATTGTTAAACAGTGGAAAGAGGAATGCAAATGAATATATTTTTTCATTAACTGAAGCTCATCTCCAGAAGAGAGGGAGATCTTTTAAAGAAATATTGGATTAAAGCACTTCATAGGTGAATTACCAATTTCTCTCTTAACCATAGATAAAAACCTAACCCTTCCTTGATGACTTTAATTATCGTACCATACTGTAATATAATGATGCCATTAAAGACTACTAAAAAAGTCATAATGTCTAATGATTATTAACACAATTTGCCTCTAGACACCAATGATTTCTGAGTTCTGTCTACTTTTTACAGTTTCTTTCCTCTTTATATTTTCAGAGTACTGTTACTGTGATTGTTTTGGGGACTGATCCCTTCCATAATTTGCTTCTTTCAATCTACTATGAATACAAAAACACACATAAAATTTCATCAATGTATTTATTGAGTCCATAGAATGTGTTAAACATTATGATAGGTGCTAAAGATACACTACTGGTAGAAACAGTTTAAACAGACCTAAGTTTCTTGGGGAATTTAGATATCAGTCAAAAAAGCACATGAAGGTGTAATTATGTAATCTGCAATGAGTATTGAAAGAGAAGGCCTGTTGGACTTAAAGTTTGTAATAGGGGAATATGTCCCTATTCTAGGGAGTTAAAGACAGCTGGAATCGAGATGAAAGTGAGAGATAAGGGCAAAGTAGAATACAGGACCAGAGAGATCATGAGGTCTTATAGGTCATTCCTACAATTTGTTCTTCATCTCGAAAGCAATAGGAACCCACTGAAGCATAATGGAACTGTGTCTGATACAAGAGTAAATGAACTCCAGATGGGGATCATGTAAAATACAGGAATTTCAGTGTGTGAACTTAAAAGAGAATCTCTTTGATTTAAGCTCCTTGGAGATTGATTTTGCTAATGGCTTAAAATTTGGCTGTGTTCCAATAGCTGGTAATAATAGTACTGTAATAATAATAGGGTTAGAGACCTGAGTATATGTAGAGTATCATGGGATATCTAATTTGATTTTCAGTAATTTTCAGGATGTTTATCAATTTTTTATTTCATTATTGGCTTACTGTTAGCATTCATTGATTATTAATACCTTGCCAGTTTCTGATAAAAAGACACATAGGGCTGTTCAAGTAGACGTACATCATCAAGACAATTGAAAGAAGGAGAAACAAATTTAGTAAAGAACTGTATCTGGTACAATAGTAAGAAGGAAGGCCTAGGTTAAGCACTGAGCTTCCTAAGCAGTCAAAATGTAAAGGGACATTTGATGGAATGCATAAGCTTCATTACATGATAGAAGCAAGTTTATCTTTTTTTTAGGAGAGAATGAATTCTCTTAGAAATTATTTCTAAAAGAAAAGTATCATGTAAGACTTTGACAGCCTAATAAGCAGTGTTATTTAACAAAATTTTACTTGGGAAGCTGGAGGGAAACAAAGACTTGCCTCTTAGGATTACTTTTATTGTTACCAGTTGAACAAAACGCTATTTCTATAAATTTTTTAAATATAAAATTTTATCAGAAGAAAGACATAAAATAAAGAAGAGTTCAGATTTTTCAGGTACTTAAGCAACAATGTCAATTTCTTCCTCTGGTCTGGTCTATAGGCAGTAAAATATTAATACTGTACATCTTGTATAGAATCAAAGATTTTTCTGTTGCCATGAGAACCTTATTCATCATAAAGAAGAAGTATTGGATAGAATTCCAGAAATGTCTCCTTACTTCTCTATAGCTGAGCAGGACAGAGTCGGCATACTAATCAGCGCTGTTTGACTGTAGGTAACAGAAACCAACTTAAGCTTGCTTAAGCTAAAAGGATGGATTTATGAGGATTTGTCAAGAAACCCCCTGGTAGAGTATAGAAGGGCCTAAGAAGAGAATTGTTTGTAAGGACCAAAACCTTTCAGAAATCCAAACATCTTTCTGCCTGCTTTGTTTTGCTCTTCCTATCTGGGTTTTCTCTCTTCCTAGGTTCTTGGGGTAGATAGCACAACTTTTAGAATTTGCTTGCTATTTGGAACATGTGCTAAGATGAACATATATATGTTTTAAGTCTCAATTCTAACTTCTTGGAAACTTGACTCTAATTAGCTAAACTTAAGTTTGATGTGAGACCTGTTCCAAATTATTAATGGCAAGGAGCAGGTAGTACAAACTTAGTTGTTGTGAGACAGTCCCAGTGGGTGAAAGGGACATTTAAGAAGTTTCTATCAGTGACTTAGGGGGAAAGTTTAAATAAAGTGAGCAGAGAGATGAAAACCTGAGGAAGTGGTGATGCCGTGGTCTCTGAATCTCTTTGCTTTTCTAGGTGGATGAGTTTTTGTTAAGGTGGAGGAGACACAATTAAGAATCACATAGAATCAGTGGGAATCTGAGAGAGGAATCAATTTTGGAATTATTTAATGAATGCAAGCCTTCATGTTGTGATTGAATTCTCTGCATGAAGTACCTTCCTTAAACTCACAGTGAGGTAGTGTAGTGGTCTAACCATGTCAATGCTCATTATTCTAAGAAGCATATGTAAACATTTGCCTGATTACAGAGACTGGTATAGAGATGGAGTTTATCAGAACTTTCTTTTCTTTAGAAACTTTATTATTTTATGGACTTCCTGAAAGTTTTACAAATATGCAATTCTGAGAGTCTCTGAACATTATAGACTGGATTTAAAGCAAATTTCCTTGTGTATAATACCTTTAAGCTATCTAAAAGAAATAAATACTGCTTAATATTAGGAAATGTATTGCAAGCACACTAATAGGTCAAATAAGACAATGAACAATATCTCGTAAGATCTATAAAAAGCCATTTGCTTAAAATATAAATTTCTGTTATAAGTACAAAAGCAAACTAGAAATGGAATAAATGTTTAACAGTATAAGCACGCCTTTCTTGACATATAAATAGTGATATATTTATTTATAGTTATTTTTGTTGCAGAGACAAATTAGTCCTGTTAGCACTGTTATTAATAATCTATCAATTTTAGCCATTGATATAAAACAAGGAACAAAAATAACAGAGATTACTACTAAAAAGGAAAAAGAAAGTAGTATTATGATTACTTCAAATGATTTGATATCAAGACAGTAAATGGAGAAATATATTAGAATACTTCAAGGTGATCAAATATAAAATTAATATTAAACCATTAAAAACTTTCCTACATACTAGTAAGAAGCCATTAACTCATTTGGGAAATGAAACTCTGTTTTCTTTGCAAGAAATACATAGACAATACCTTGGAATAAATGGAACCCCAAAATAAGAAAGATCTATGTGAAGACAACTTTTTTTTGAGGGACATCCACATCCCTTTTTTGTAAACAGAAAAACAAACTATAGGAAAAATGTTATTATTTTGTGAGTAAATCTGTATTCAGGCTTAGTATAGTTCCAACCAAAAACAAAGGAGCATTTTGGAATTTGAAATAATATTTAAAATTTTAACTGTGAATATAAATGAGTAAAAGTAACTAAAATGATTTTGAAGGAAAAGCTATTCTTACCAAACATATTAACATTTAAGCATAATGTTAAGTTATAGTAATCAGTTCAGTAAGAAACTAGTACCAGAACAGACATATAGTAAATGCAACCAGGTAGAAATAGCCAGAAATACATAACAAAATAGTAATCAGTTTGCATATATATATACATACATATGAGTTTATGATGTGATAAAGATGAGTTAGAACTCAGTGGGAAAAGACATTTATTATCAATTTACAGTAAAATCAAGTGATCATGATTTCTCCATATCAGAGAGTCTTATCCATTAGAGTTAGGTGAAAAGAAGC